TGCTTTGAAAACTCGTGAAAATGGACAACGAAAAATCTGTTCATTCAAAAACATTGATGAAAAACCTTTTCGAACCTTATGAATTTTATATAGATAGATGTTCCCTCACTTGCTCTTTCTAATGGTGAAAAGCCGAGCTCGATAGCTATACGTGATCAAGAGTTATTCAAAAAATGGTAGAGGCTATTTTTTAAAAAATCCGACAATAGTCACAGAAAGTTACAGTAAGTTTTAAGAGCTGAAAACTTATATGGAGTACCGTATGTATTTCGTTTTTTTCTTTTTATTTAAATCTACTCTTCATCATTTCTTCAATTGATACTATATGAAATGATCTTTTATATTACGTAGTAATGACACACTCTACAAGATTTGTAATAGAGTTCTGAACACGATTGTGTTGCTGAGATAGAGATTCTTGATAGCATTAGTACAAATTTTTTGTATGTTGTGTGTAGAATTATTAGCTCTGAGGTGCAACGCGTCGAAGGTAGCACCATCTTTAGCATTACTTTCAACGTATGTGTTTCATTAGTACTTCATCTCTAGGTCGAATTACTGTAGTTTCACCGTTTGCCTTTGATTCTAGTCTAGAAATGGCTAGCTTAGTTGTATGTCATTATTTTTTTACATTCTAAAAAGTTTAACTAATTAGCCAACAAACTGAAATTTATCCTTGGAATATACTCTATTTCGTTTGTCTTACATAATGTTGGTGAACATCGGGGTTCGTTGAGTTCAAAATTTTTGCAACCAGATTCAGATCCAGGACAAAACGGACGGGCTCTAGCGAACATTCTCAGTTTATAAAAACTTCTATTCAAGTTCATTTAATGACCAACTGTTCTATTGTACGTAAAGATTCATACATGGAACTGTTTAACTGTTGTGTTGTAAAAATTTTTAAAATATTTTTTTAAATCAACATTCAAACATTGTTAATATCTCTATATATTCTTTCGCTATTGATAATTACCTCAATCTTGATGATTAACAAATAAACGTTTGATAATAAAATATTCCGTTTTTCTATAAGACTTCAAGCATTTGTTGCGTAAATACAGTCTTTATGTTTTTATTCGTGCATCATATATAACATATTTATGATTGTTAATTTTTTGAAATATTAGTAGTATGTTTTTCAAGCGTGACCTATAACTTTCAAACGATAAGTACACTGATCGTACTATATAAAACATCTCACGCTTGAAATAACAGAAAGCAAACATCGTTATACTTGCTCTCTGAGTGTACAGAACATTATTTTTTTACCCTTGAATCAAGTATACTACAAAATATGATTATTCATATGTTTCGCAATGCTATAATTTCAAACAACGATATTTTTTGTATATCGTATTTATAATTTCATTATCTAATACTTTTATTCGATTTATTAGTCGTAAATTTACCTGTATAATACGTATAAATTAAACAAACAAAGATATATATATCGAAGCAGATATTATGCTTGCATTTACATGACAAAATCGTTAAAATTCTAGGTAATACCTAGTGAGATGATTTTTATCGACTTTTTTCTATTTAAAAGATATGTTTTTCATGCTTTTTTAAAAATTTTCGTCTGATTAATATACTCTCTTTTGCATCAGTTATAAACGTGCGAGAAGTACATGCTAGATTTTGTATCTACCTACGTTATTAGATAACAAACATTTTTTCACGTGTATTAAAAATATTTTGCAAGTTGATAAGGTGGTTGATTCTCGTATGCAAAGTTTCTTATATTAAATAACCGGTAAATCATTATTATTAATTTGTTTTGCTTTTGTATAATATAGATAATTTCATGATAATTTATAAGCGAAAATATACTAACAAATGAATAAGTAAAAAAGAAAACATTCAATTTATATTGAAGGTTTACTCAAACGAAGGTGTTTTTTTGTACTTTGGCCAATTTTATCAGTGGTGATAGTAGGTTTTGTCTGCATGTTACACGAAATTTTCTTGTAAATCTTCCAGGTCGATCTGTAATTTTTCTTACCATCACTGTGTTGCATGAACATATGGATGCAGTAGCATGCACAATTGATCATCTAGCACAGAAGTCGCATTATTGTTTGAATATCCCAAAATTGATTCAATGAATTTAAATAGAGATTCTAGCTCAAACGAACTTTGGTTTCATAGTCTATCTGGATTAAGTATCACTTCTTCGAGTCATGAACTTGTTGTGCTAGATAAAATATCGAACACTCAACATAATCTAAATTGATAGTAGACTTCATAGAGAAAAATACACATAAGACAAGCTCGCGAAGCACAAACAAAATAATTTTTCTTTCCGAAATCTATAAAATGTGCTATTCTTTATCGTAAAATTTACGTGAATCATTCTTATCTAACACAGCAAGTTTACCTCGCAAAAAGAGATGACACTTCATAAAAATGAACTATGAAACACAAGGTAAAGTTTGCTAAAACTCACATTTCAATACATAGAACTTCTTTTAAGATACTAGAAAAATAATATATGATGAACTTTGACTATCACCGTAGAACTTTTTGATTTATTGTCAGTTAATTAATAGAATAATAGTAGTTTTCTTATAGTGCTTAGTCTGATTTGAACATTTGATAATTTTAGTTTTTTAGAAGAGTTATGATAATTTTTTATATTAGATAGATGGTAGTAAAAATTTATTTTCGATTGTTTTCTATTTGTATGATTTGAGCAATTATTCTAGAATGAAATGGAGTAGCTTCAATAATCTTATTTATCTCTCGATCTAATTGTACTTTTTTTATTATCGAAAATACTCAATAATAACGACCTGTAGTTATCGATGATTAATTCTGCTCTACGTTTACTCATGAAATATACTATTTTTCTCTGACTCATTTATCTTGTTTGTTTTGTCATGTTCTTCTATAAATTACATCTCTTATTTCGTTTTATGCTATATACATAGAAATAGACAAAAATAACGCATATCACGGTTAAATTTCATAAAAATCCCAATTACTTATTTGTATATATTATAATTTTTTTATAGAAATAAGTTAAGATGAAATTGACTTTTTTTGAAACTTTTTTAGAGATTATAGAACGGGTTTATATATATGTATATATGAGTACAAATATCTAAAATGAATAGCAATCATAATAGAAATAATTATTTAACGGTGGGGCTCGTATATGTATGGTTTCTATCACGTGTGTGACTTTATATAGGTCTTCAGTGTTTTTCTGTTTTATTATTAATTTAAAATAAACTAGTCACACCATTAAATCAAATCGGCATGGAACAGTTTTCTACCAACTTTCAAATTATTAATTATTTCAGTAAAATAATTTTATTTTTTATGATCACAAAAGGTTAGCGACCGATTCGGATTAATATGAGTTTGATTATTAACATTTAAATTTAACGTTTATGATAGAGAAATGTGTGACAAATACAGAATCTCAAGTATCTCAATTGATTTAAGGATATCGTCTTTCTCTTTCGTCACCCAAAATAACATCACCAGATTAGTTTGTAAATCTGCCAGACCGATAAGTCACACTTTCTATAGGTTAGAAAGATAGAACATGAAATTCTGCATGTTTTTGTGTATTAATTTTTTTATTTTTCGGAAGCCAAAAAAAATTTTTGTGGATTAAATCATCTCAATGAGATCTTTCACTGTTAGACATCTCGAATATTAATTATAGCACTCGTAGTTTTTCTATTATAAATTCAACATGAAAACTTATTGTCTAGATCGATGCTATTTTTCACGTTCTACAAATTACCATACTAATCATATAAAACAGTGACTTCTGTCTTAGATTATATAGGATCATACAGGTGCAATATCATACATGACTGTATAAATACAGTGGAGAGTAATAAACCCTCATTATCAGTTTTTATCATCAGATAAACTTTTTTTTTTCATAAGCATTGGCAAGGACTTGTAACCTGTTGGAAAGTCATATACTTTTGCACTGTTTTCTGTGTTCATAAAGCCTTGTTGAATATATGAACGAAATAAACACTTAGACGAAGGATATATCATTGTGCATTTAAAACAGAACTGCGGAATATTAAACTTTGCACTTAATCATTTATTCCGTTCACATACTGACCAAGAATTTATCTAATAGTAATCAGCAGATAGTAGGGACTTGTTATTCTCGATCTTTTTTTAAAAGTACTGTTTGACTGTCCATAAACTATTAGATATGTCATTTTCCATAATATGACACACTGCATCGATTGAAACTATTAGTTTTTATATTGAATTTGCAAAAGAAAAAATTATGATAAAAATGTTATACTTTTTTCTTCTATTGAAAGTGAGATCTAAAGGTGTGGCACATTTACAATCTTATCTGGCATTGTCTTTTATTTTTTTGAGGTCGTTATATAGTTTGATATAGTATTTATCTATTGAGTACATTTTGATATCGAAAAATTGTCTTTAAACGTTCTAAAAAGTTCGAGAAGAAATCAAATCAGTGAAAATTGTACATAATTTTGGGTTTTTCTTTAAACTGATTTCTTCATACAAAAAGTACAGAAACTTCTTCGAGTTTCTGTAGGCTGGTATGCCTGATCGAGCTGAAACAGTTCGATCGAATATAGCATCTCTTAGAAGCTGGGAAAACTTTTTTGCTACTGTAATCATAGTATCTCATAGAAGATAGCATTCGGAATAAAAACTTTTGCTCTACCCATCAAGGTCTATTTACTCTGGAAGTTTCAAAATTTTCTAATTAACTGTTCTTGAGAAATTTCGAAAAGGAGTGGAAGGGGCAGGTACTCTAAAACCAAACAAAATCACCAATAGATCGTTTAGTATGATGTGCATCATATCAGTGGTATTTGTCGGTAATTAATCAACAGTAGTTTGATACTTAAATGTCAAACATGTTGTATTAATAATAATTATAGTAGATTTGCAATCTATATCAAGAAATATTGATATAAAATCATAATCTTAATAAAAAATTTTCTCTATTTGTTTTTTTTACAGCAAATTTCGGAATGGTAGTTCGATTACGAACAATTTGTTTTTCATCGTTTTTGATTCTCATTATTCTCTCCCTCTATGTCATCTGGCCATGGTTTCATGCTGCTTATGTATGGCGTCAAAGTACAATCAAATCTTTGAATTTTTCTACGACTTCATTATTAAACAATACAAATAGTCAAGTACCACGAATACTACATCAAACATATCGTGATATACATTCAATACCATTTAAATGGCAACAAGCATCAAATAGTTGTCGAACATTTCATTCCGATTATAAATATTATCTTTGGACGGATAAAGAAGGACGCAGTTTAATTGAAAAAGAATTTCCTTGTATTTTATCAACATTTGATTCTTATCCATATGATATTCAACGTGCTGATGTTATTCGTCTTGTTGTATTATATGTATACGGAGGAATTTATTTAGATTTAGATATTATTTGTCTAAAACCACTTGATAAATTATTAAATTATGAATTTATTCTACCACAAACCAAACCTGTTGGTTTATCGAATGATTTCATTGTTGCAAAACCGAGACATCCATTTTTATTACAAATTTTGAATGATTTACCGAAATTTAATCGAAATTTTTTCACAAAGTAAATTAAATATAAATTAGAGCGATAAAAATTTACGACACTATTTCTTTTATGAATCGTTTTGCTTTGAACATGGTCTATCAAAGACATCGAATAATGATTTCAGTAGCCATCAAAATAGACTACAAAGCTCATGAAGGAATCTCTCCGGGTATTAACTCATTTTTCGATTGAGACAATATTTATTTAATGAATAATAGAAAAGTCTAGAATGGTTTAGTTTTACAGACCATCATTCTTAAACCATCGAAATTTTACTGAGTTTTTTAAACACAAGCTATCGTCATGTGAAAAATCGATTTTTGATTTCAAACTTTGCATGAACAAAATTTTTAATAAGATTAGTTGATTGGACAAGTTGTAACTTTTCTAATGTCGTCTATCCTAAAATATTCAAAATTCTTTCATGTATAAAAACAAATTTTGTTCATCTTCAGAAAGGAAATACTAGAAAAGCTAAAACTTGTACAATCAAATAATCTCATGAAGAACTTTGTTCATCCAAAGTTTGAAGTCAGACGTCGATTTTCTACGATATCTCAAGAGGATCAGAGGTTTTTTGTTGATAAACTCATTTGAAAAACGATAACTCAGACAAAGAAACCATTGTAGACTTTTCTATTACTCATCAAACAAACATCGTCTTGGTCGAAAAGCGATTTGAAACCTGAAGAGCTTTCCTTATCAGATAAAATTGGACTCTTAAATTTAATCATTTTAGTTCCTATTCTATGAATTATTTTGCTGTAGCGTAGAAAATTTTCAAACATTTTTAATATTTTGTTAATTCTTCGCTATTCGAAAATCATTAAAAAAAAACTCTGATATACTATTCAATACAGGATCAAATGAAATTTATTTTCGTAAAAAAGTACTTTTTGAATATCCTTAGACTTGACTTAAAAAGCTATCTGACACCTATAGAGGTTCTCTTCAGCGGTTTGTAGTGCATTCTGAAAGTTGTTGAAATTATTATTTGATATCTCTCATAGACCATGTTCGAGTAAACGTATTCGCAATAGAAATATTGCCTTGAATTTTTTCCTTCGTCTTAAATGAAAATAATCATTATAGATATATTTGCTTTTATTTTTATATATAGATATCCAACTGTAATGTTTTCTACTGGACCAATGTTTCTTACACATGAAGCTTCATCTTATCCAAATCGTTCTTCATTAGATATTATTTCTCCTGTACTCTATGGAAAATATGTATATAATTCATCGTATTCTCTATTTCGACATTTAAAAGGTTAATTAATTATTTTTTTTTTACTCTATTCAAGAAATAATTCTGTTGATCTATTATTGTAGCCTCATCGTGGCATGGTAACGATGCATCAATGATAAAATATATTTATCGTTGGCGACACGTTTTCGTTCCTGTATTGATCATCATATTAATAATGATTGTTGCTCTTATCTATTTCATTCAACAATATCATAAAATTATAAAAATTATTTATCAAACTTATTTAACAATTCTATTAAATTTAAACCATTCAAAAATAAAAGAACAAAATTTTACAAATAGGAAATATTTTCGTATATTGTTATTGAATTTTGTTTTGTTTTATTTTTCTATACTTGCTTTTTATAAAATGATATATCCATCTTTTATTGATCATGGTAATATTTCCTCATGATCAATGAAAGATGAAATAGAATGAAAGGGCAAACAGTTTTTATTCTATTCTCTCCTACATGTATCCGGATAAAGATAGATAGACTCTTTATCCCTATATGTTATTTTTTTTCTTTTTCTTTTTCTTTCTCTAAAGAAAAGTACTAGTGATTAATATCAACCAGATAAATGAGTAGTATATATATATATATATCGGATAAAGCATTGAGTATAGTGCACACATTCTCTCTCTCATTGTTATTAAGCAAATCAAGATATTGAAATGGAAAATATTAAACATGCTGCTAATGCTGTTGGAGATAAAATGCATGTATAAATTGTATCTTTTTTTTAAATTAAATGATTCAAGTTATTTATTTTTTGTCAGGAAATGAAGAGTAGATCATCAGCAGAATATAACAAAGAAAAAGCAAAAGATTCTAGCAATACTATCGGCGAACGTATTGGTGCTGGTATTGATTATTGTAAAGATAAAGCTGAAGAAGTTGGTCATGCTGCTTCAAAAGAAATCAATAAACAAAAAGCTATACATTAGAACAATAAAAAAAAGCTTTAATTCAGATATATAATCTCGCTGTTATTTGTGTATAGTTAATCTTTGTTTTATTGAAATATGATAATCAATAAAAACAAATTAATCGTCTAACTCAAGTACATGTTTTATGAGATATTTGCATTGCATCATGATCACATGAAATAAAAACGTGATCCGATCAATATGTTTATGCAAAAGTCAGAATGTTGTCATCAATACATAATACCATCCTGGTGGGTAAAACAGATTTAAGAAGAAGAAGAGGAAGAATATTTCAACTTTTCTGTATAGAATCTAACTATTTTTTGAATAAAAATTTTGACAGAAACATTATAGAAACTTTCGGTTTTCATCATTCAAGAGAGAAAGCTTCGGAGCATTTACTTGTGCTGAAATTTGACTGGTCAACAGCTGACTAATTTTGAAAAAGATGTTCGGAAGCCATTTTCATTGGATTTTGACTTGGAATACGATCAATCGATAGGACGAATTTGTCCTGTTCGATCTGCACAAGTCCCAATCTTCTAGCACATTTTGTAACATTGATTCATCATGCTGAATCAAATGGTAATGTTTGTTTTCAGTTTCAAACTGACTTAAGATCACTATTTCAAGATTTTTAAAATTTCAATAATACTGAAATAATGGTCTAATATCATTTTGAAACTGAAACTAAACATCACCATTTGGCTCAGCATGGAAAATTAATTCTGTTCTCAGCTTTATTGAGTCTTTCAAGGTCAATATCAATATCTATGTTGGCTTGATTTTTGCAGTGTTTGTTACTTTATTGATGTTTACGTATGAATTAAAAGAAGACTCATGCCTACATCCTTCGTCTAGATTATATAGTCTATGTACGATATGACCATGTCTTACCTTCGAAACTGATTTTCATACGAAAAATCCACTTTATTCGGAGAAATAAACTTCGAAAATGTACTAATTCTTAAATTACGCATTTCCAACTATTCAATTAGACATCTGTTTCAAGTCTCATTTTGACGAACTTCGATATATTTGAGCGTGTGGAATAGGTATTGTAAATCAAAATGCATTCAATCATTTTAAATTGTAAATACATTATTCATCAACTTTGATGATTATTCCTGTAATAAATAAAACATATATAAATAGGTATCATAATATCATTCATTTACAAAAGTATTCAAGCATTATAAGATATGATTAATATATAACCATGCTTATTTGATACTTCATTATGAACAAATGCAGTTGATGCGTTTTTTTATCTCAAATAGATTCTTTAAGAGAATGTTCAATTTCAAGTTTACTTTTATAGATCTGTTTGTATGTCAATATCAGGTTGACAGTAGTATCACATTTTATCGATATTGTTTGTGCATTTTGTTTAAAAAAAGCATGACAATATATTATTCTTTTATTGAACGACTGATTCTCGTTGATTTTTATAAAGAAATGCATAAGAAGTTTAGTAAAATAAAACATTTGGTTATGAAAGCAGTCAAACAAATGCATGAACTGATGAAAATATACTTTTTTTTTACTAAATGAAGACAATTCGATATATGAAATATCTTCATGATTATAAATGTCTTTTTTTGTAATTGAGATTCAATAAATTCTTTTTCTTAAAATAATTCACTTGTCTTTTGTAAACGTCCTTTATTGTCATGTGTTGTATCGTCAAAAAATGGATCACGTGCTCGTAAACTCCTGAAAAGAAAAAGCAGAATTTTTTCATATGCAATCACGTCTGTGGTAAAAATTTTCAGCGTAACTATGATAAAATATAAGGATTATTCAGAACACTCGGTTATAAAACACAAAATTGAAGATCATCAAGTTCTATACAATGAGGGAATACAAAGTGGCATTATCCACTATAGTTGGCCTGTGAAGATATCGGGCATAGACGGAACCAATCAGGATTGTTGACGGGCCGTAAAGCGGATGCAACAATTGTGATAGTCTAGAACCTGTCGGGCTGGACTGGGACCCACATTCAGTTGGGTTGGAGTTTGAAAATTTTGCACCCGGTGAACTCTAGTTGTCTGATAAATTATCAAGGTGCGTTATTCACCGAATATAAAATGCAGGAGAAAAGTACTTCAATCTTCGGACGATTATCCAATGGCAATTAGAAAATTTCATGAAAAGTATCAAAGTAAGGTTTGATCGGATTCCGGGTTCGATAATTTTGGACTCGGAGGGTTCTACAGTAATTATTGATTCACTGATCTAGGCATGCACCTACAGAATAACGATGAAGACGGCGAACACACGATAAAACTATGGTGATCTTAGATTCATTTTAACTTTCTCTGTCCGATGAGATTTATTTCAAGAAATTAGCTGAAATTTTATAAACGATGCCTCCACCCTAAGACTCAAGCCTTTTTCGAAAGAGAAATCTGAACTCAAGAATTTCAACAAACTTATAGTTTCGAATTCCTGGATCCTAAAAATATTTAGTCTATTTTTATAAAATTCAGCTATTTTCTTGAAATACCTTCACTGTCAGTCTATACGCACATATTTAGACTAATGCACTGTCATGACTGCATCTGTAACTCGTAATCGATACTGGTTTCATCTCTGATCTGACAACTGATAAAATGAGTTTAATTCCAAACAAGGAGAATTAACATAAGCATACGTTAAACGAACTTCACACTTTTGTTTTTATCGAAACAAAGACAGGAGCTTTTACAAAATAATTTCCGTCAAACAACTACTTTACCTTGAGAGCATTTATCGAAAAAGCAAACAGCTATATAATCTACTCTACCGAAGTTAGAAATATTGAAATTTATTTAAATAGGTGTTTTTCTCTACTTCTCAAAGTTTGCATTTTGCTATAAAAAAAAACAAATAAACATACCTGACTTGATATGGATCAAATCGATAATGAGTAAGACGCTCATCTGCATAACTATCTAATGGATTAGATACTTTGTTATTTTCTGTAAAACCGGTTGCTCGTGGTTGTTGAATACCACCGACCACATAACCTTCACGATCACGTCCTTTTCGATTCATGTCAAAATGACTATATCATAATAAATAAAAGGAATTAGATCTATTTTTCTTTTTTTAGAAAAAGGAAATTTATCATACTTTATTTGATAACTTGTAATAAATCGACGTGGATCATCAAATGTTTGTACATAACCAGTTTCATTACTTATTGGTCCTGTTGTTTCTTTGGGCCCAATATTCAAATTACCCATTTTTTCAGGTAAAAATTGATTACCAAGATAATGTTTACGATATTCACTGAACATAAAAAGATTTTTTTTTTCGATAAAAAATTCATATCAATAAATAAATTACATACGTAGAATCTGGTGCAAATAAACCACCAGCATAAGGACCTTCACCAGTAGGTAAAACAAAATTATTTATTACACGATCTGATGATATTTTTGTATTAGTACCAATAACCGTAAGTAACGGATCATCTCCCTAAAATATATCATATATTTATCGATCATCAATGAATCCGCACGACAAGAGTCGAAATCTGTTTACTATTCTAAAGTATTATAAAATATACATCGCATGAGAGAGCGTGCTGTTCTGCATATGTCAGTGTTGTAGATTTGATTTTTATTATTGACGAGAAACCAATATGATTTATCGGCTGATGTATTGAAAGTACATGTAGAGTTAAACATTGGAATAAACGAAAATTTTCTGTTGGCAAATTTTTTCGATATCGACTACCGTGATTAAATGAGATATGTCCTATATTTAGAAAACTGGAAATGCAAAATATGCAAAAGTACTCATTATAAAAGATACTTTCGCATATCTGACATCTCCGATTTCCTGAATATGTGACACTATTGGATTAGATACGCTTTTTGGTTCTAAAATATGTATATAGATATTTGATAAGTTCTCCTTCTTTTCTCAGGAGTATATGAGTCAGAATGAGATGAAAGCAAACTTTTTGAAAAATTGTTCTATAATTGCTTCTACAAAATAAACTTATGTCAAAAACTTTTGAAAATTGTTCGAATCTGGAATTTTTCACAATCATCATATAGTACGCCCTCTTGTCAATTGGTTTCAGATACGACTTCAACCATTTGCATGAAAAGACTTTTCAAGATCAGCAACAAAAGCTGAACTGAATGATATACACTTTAGAGAAAAAGTATCCGAAGTGGACCACAGGTAAAACCTGTGAAAAATTACTGATGGAGAAAACAAGTATTTTTTTCTCTCGGCTGCATTTTTCACTGTCGTTTATATCACTCAATTCAGTTTTCGATGCTGATCTCAAAAACTTCTTTTCATACAAATGATCGAAGTCGTGTCGAAAACTAACCAACAAGAGGATATTTTATCAGATAGTTGTGAAAAATTCTAGATTCGGACATATCTTCATAAGTTTTATTAAATAAATGCATTTTGCAGCGAGGATGGTGGCACAGATTTTCAGAAAATCTCAAAAAGAGGTAAATTTTAATTTCCGAGAAAAGTCAACTAGATGTTTTCTAATTATTTGAAGAGATATCATTTTGACATCATTACGACTCAGATATTTCTTAGAAAAGAACGTATCAAGTGTCTAAATGCATTTTATAGAGTCAAGAAAGACGCGTTTAATCATAGTATTCAATATCAAGATTACTCGTTAACAGGAAGATTTCGTCCATACAAATATTTAACTATACATTTACTTATGATACATACACAAGCTGATGTGTCTATCGACTTCTCATCAATGATAAAAATCCAATCCATCATATCAAACTCTGCAAAATAACATACTCTTACAGTTGGTGTATATTCTATAATACATTAGAGCAATGGTAGATTTCTACTCACATCGTGCAACATGTTTTATCAAATAATTAGATTTACTTTCGGATAATCATATTGTGGAAATTTCTCTTTATATTCAGTAGCACCGATCGGTCTTGAACGATAATGCCAACGTTCACCTTCTGTCGTTGTTATTGGTTCGATTTCTGTATTCGAAACAAATCCAGAAGATTCTTTTG